AATATTCTTCTATACTGTGTCTTATGTACTGAAGGATTTCCTTCATCTACTCATTGTGCATGTGGATTTGATACTGTTAGACTTTGCATATATTACAAAATATAGGCAACAGAGATAAGGCACACGAACAGTTTATAACAAATAATTCAAAAAGAGAGAATAACTATGCAGGAAAGCTATGCCTACAACTTGTTAATTCTAAAATGCAAGTGGTTGAGGATGATAGAGTTTATGATATTTAAATACTAGTTTCATATTTGAAAAAAACATAAAAACATTTTCATTTTTTTAGTTGGAGTAGGTCACTTTGAGCATTGGTTCACCATAATTTAAGGTTCTGTTACATAGTTCAGAGACATAGTACTATGCTTCCTTTTCTTCTTTTATGCTATCTTTGCCTTAAATGATTTGCAGAGGGGGAAATCTTCCAAAAAACTATTGCAATGGAACATGTGAGGTTATCTGGATTATGATTTGCAGGGTAATATCCACTAAGAGGTTTTTCATCTCATTCTGCCAAAAATGGAGTGGTATAATGAATTCCCATTACTGTATTATCCTACAACCAAATATTTTTTTTAAAATCTCAACTCAGTTGTCTATGTATCAAATCAGTTCAAATCAAATATTACTCCTTTCAAATCTTAAATTCAAATTGACTACAGTGTTCTACCTATCTCAAATCTTAGATAGATAGATAGATAGATAGATAGATAGATAGATAGATAGATAGATAGAATTGTTTATTGCCCATGTGTGATTGGACACACAAGGAATTTGTCTTGGTGCAAATGCTCTCAGTGTACATAAAAGAAAAGAATACATTCATCAAGAGTGAAGAATCATAAGGTACAACACTTAATGATAGTCATAGGGTACAATAAGCAATCAAATCATACTAGGAAACAGTCAATATAAAATGACAAAGTTACAGTCATACAGTCAGAAATGGGAGGGGATGGGTGATAAGGAATGATGAGAAGATTAATAGTAATAGTAATGCAGACTTTGTAAATAGTTGGACAGTGGTGGGGGAATTATTTGTTTAGCAGAGTGATGGCGTTTGGGGAAAAACTGTGTCTAGTTGTTCTGGTGTGCAGCGATCTTATTAGATCTCAACTAAATCAATTAACCCTAGCATATGATTAGGAAAAGAAACCCATAAAATTTCAGGTTCATGTGGTATCCCCTTTTTTCAGTACAATTAGCAAAGAAATGTAGGTTTCACTTTTGCAGATTTTATTGGCTCCCTAAATTACATACTGCAGCTTAAAAGAAAGTTTTCAATTATTAGAAGCAAAACTTCTGACTTCTTTTGCTGGCTTGCTTAGAAAGGTAGACTTTGATAACATAACACAACAATGAAGTAAAAGGAAACTACATTTTGATTTACAGTGTTTTTTATTCTCCTTACAATACTTTAAGTCACTCTTATAAAGAAATCCATAACATTACATAGTCACAAACTCAAGATCCTATCATTGCATATTGGCATTTATGTCCAATCCTTCACTAAGTAAAGTATAATTTAACAAAAGCAAAGGTATTTTTACAGGGGTCCAGAATTTATGGAACGCTCTCCAAGAAACTCATTTGATTTGTTCCTAATCTCTTCTCAGAAGCAGATTTACAATACTATATTTATATTCAGCAGGTGGCAACATTTGGGCAATCTTGGCTGATAACAAAAGGTAACTAAGGTTTGATATAATTAGTATTTGGATGGAAACTCCAGGAATGCTGGCTTGACTAAAAAGTAAAAACAAACAAAACCAAAAGAGCAAGCAAACAAAAAACCCAGCTTGGGTGAAAACAATGGCATAATGGGGGGGGGGGGGGGGGGGGGGACCCAAAGCATCTTTGCCTTTTTTTTTGTTTAACTATATATCTATTTCACCATTGCTCTGAAAACTGGGAATGATCCCTTGTTAGTATGATTAATATTTGTGACATTTTAATTGAATTCTTTGTACTTTTAACACTTGAAATCTACAACTAATAACAGGATACATTTTGTGCAGTTTCTCTAATTTCTCTATTCCATCAAGGATAATACTCACTAGTTAAAGTGATATTTCTTTAAAAAAAATAGGGTATTTTAATCTAATAACTATATGTTATTTAACATGAATAAAAATTATTTCTAATATAAGTGGATCTACTATCTTGTGATAGTAACCACAGTAATCCACTTAAGGCCTTCTACTATTGAAAATACTTCTATCAACAGGAGGTAGTAATCGCTCATTTAATTGGGAGTTTACAGAGGATTCAGGAGGATCAGAATAATAAAAAGGACATTAAAGACCACAGGCTGAACATTCTCATGCAATCACATGGCAGAATTACCAAATAATTTTAAATGTTAAATGTACATTACATTAATTATTAAATGTATATGCCATTTAACTATGAGCAGTTTAAAAATTGTAAACGAGATTACTTTCAATATAAAAACAGTCCAGAAAGAAAACTTTAAAAACTCATCAAAACATTTCATTACTAAATATTTAAAAAAATTAGAGATCAATTTTTTAGATGAGGCTGCCTAAGGTATTGCATAGTTTTGCTATGCATAAGCAAGTTCTTTACATTGGATCACTTCACATTCTGTTCAGAAGTACATTTATACTGGAAACAGCAGCAAACCTTGAATGTACATACATTACATTTATATACATAATCAAGTAGGCCTCATTGCTGTAATATCTATAATAAAGCAAGTATTATTCACACTATTAAAAGATCAGAGGTTAATTTGTTCAAAAACTTTATGGCAGGAATTATAAAATGTACATGGGAGGGATAAGACACAATTTTAAAACAATTAGAGGAGATGGTATTACAGCAAAGAATAGGCTCCAGTCAAACCAGCAACATCCTAGTTACTGGTCATATATAGCCACAAATGTGATAACATAATACAAAAGTATTGATGTTACTTGCTCTTCACTTTGTGACTGTACGAAAGTAGAACCTCAAACAGAAGGTTATTTGGAGTTTAACATGGAAAGAACAACATATAAGGCAACTTAAGCTGATGTCATGCTATTATGTTCATATGCTTTAAAAATAAACACACAGCTATATTTCATTTGCCTTCATTCAAATTATTATCTTTGAAGTTAATGTTTTTAATATTTTAATATTTATCATTTTAATTGTAAGCTGCCCAAAGTCACTCTTCAGAGTGAGATGGGTAGCATATAAATTAAACAAATAATTTCAACTTTGCATCAGAAGTTATATGATCTAGTCTGCAAGAAGTACTCTCCAAGCCCAGGAATGTGTAACAAACACCTAAGGAGAATCTGAGACCAGGATCACTTCCAAGAAACAGGCAATGCACAGTAGACTTGTTTTCTAAACCGTAAAAAAGAAACGCTTGTACCTGCATATTGGTAACACAAGAGTTTTAGATGACATTTTACACAATATTAGATTTTATTATTTGTTTCAAGATAATAATATATTGAACATTAATCTTATGTATTTTAACAAGGGCTGAATGAACTTGCTTTTCATTTATACTCAAGACTGCAATTTGTTCAAAGAGTAACTATAATTATTATTATTTTTTTAAAAAAAATCAATGAATAAAAAACCCTAACCCTGAAAACACAAAACCAGAAAGATCAATCCTAGTTATCCCTTATCCATAACAGTAATTATTACCTCATATCATAAAATTCTTGAATTTTAAAAAGCATCTAAGATTTACATGCATTCAGTGAAAATATATTATCCACCCTTGCCAGCTACCAAATTTATTCTTATGAGAAATAAAGTAGCACAAACCTGCCTTGCATCTTTATAGCAACCACATACTAAGAAAAAGGTAGATGTTATCAAATGAGTCACCAATGACTATGAGTATGGCCTCTATTACTCTGCCGAGCAAGCAGACATTGTTCCAACCTATGTCTACTTAATGAAGATACTGGAAATGGATTTTATAGGGTCAGAAAGAACTTTATAATTTCTTTTAAATAAAATATTGGTTTGTTGCTAGAATAGGTTGCTAGATTGTCTGTCTAGGTTTAGAGCATATAATAATGAAGGGCTGAAGTTCCTCAACCCATTCTACCCACCTCAATAAATTCCTTGTAATGATTCAACATTTGAACAAATAGCATATATTAAAAAGGAGATGATGAATCCAAACAAGTATTCTACAATAACATTTTGCTTACAATAATATATCTAAAAGAACCAATGAAAGATGAAGGTATTTAATAGACAGGACAGTTATAAAATATATAAAAGGTTGAAATAAGTGGTAGCTTAAGATATATTAGCAAAATAAAAGCTTCATTTCCAAGAATGAGGTAAACATTGGCTCTCAAAAGTGCTAAATATAACTGATCAAATTTAAAGTAACCTTACAGCTGGTACTTCTTTCATTTAACACTGTGTAAAAGTGTATAGGCCAGCCTATATCAAAATCCTTCAGCACTGCACCTCTGCAAAAAGTCACAAATCTGACTTTTAGGCAAATAGTGCTGAGGGCAATTAAATGGTGCTCCAGTGTGCATTTTAAAATGCAAAAGGCAAGTATGCATTTTATAAGGAAATACAGATAAAAATTAAACTATGATTAAAAGCCAATACAGATTTAAATATTTCTCATCCTTAAAACATATCCTTTAAAAGTTTCCATTACTATATATATAGCCTTTGAAGGAGACAAAAAGCTGAGTTATTGCATAATCATAGTAAAAACTGTTCTAGATATGTAAAGTGAATTAGTAAGACTGATACAGGTATCATCATTCAGTTTTGTAACTTTCAAACAGGAGCAAGGTTAAAGTATAAGGCCCAAAAATAGCCTAGCAACCATTCTAGTATAAAAAAATATATTGCCAATGGAGTCACACTTTATTTTAATCTTCCTTTTACAGTGTTATTATAACTCAGAACTCAAGAAATAAAATCACTAAGAACATGGAGAAGGAAACATTTAAATAAAAGGTACTAAAATAATAGTATCTAAACTATACCTGAGGAGATACACAGCCCTTTCAATATCATTGAGTTCTTCATCAACTGTCAGTCTCTCTATTTCTTCTGGTGTCTGTCAGACATGATACAGAAATCAACATTATTGACATCTCAGCTGCATACTTCAATTTCTTAATAACTACCTCTTTTCAAATTTGAATATTCAATGCCACAAGTATATTTATACTACAATCCCACACACACTTACCTGCAAGTAAGTCCCGATGAATTCAAAGGGGCTTACTTCTGAGTAGGCATGCATAGGATTGTACTATTCATCACCAGGACCACTTTTACTTATTCCAGAGTAAGTATGAATTCTGCCTGAAACACAAGAAATTAAATGAAAATAGATGTAATTACAAGAAATACTAATGGAAGTGTGCTAGCTTCAAGTTTGTCATGTATTTGACTTCTATGAGTCAGATTGCTGACTATTTTGTCCAGTGTTATCTATTTTAAATGTCAACTGCTCTCCAAGGCCTTAAATAAGGGCCTTTTGCTCTGCTATTTGATAAACTACAGAGAGCATGAAAAGAACCAGAGACAAATATGAGCTACCACTTATCCTCCTTCTCAATTTTTGAATCAGAATGACAGCCAGTAATTTTTAAGCCACTTTCTCTGGAACAGTCTCCTGGAAGACTATGACTGGTTTCAGATATGATTTTAAAGACCTTTAATTTTAATTCTCCTAATCTGATAGCATTCCAAAAATGAGGCAATTAACATTTTAAATCAGTTACTGTAATAAAAGATAAAAATTATATAACCATAAAAGTTGCTGAAATCAAAGCAGTTGCTATCTAGGATTTCTCTCCCCCACCTCTCAAATGCCATTTCTGAAAGCATTACAACCACTGCTGAGATTCATTACCTTATCTATGCAAAACATCTTTCCAATTTAAAATATGCCAAGCCTGCAGAAAAAGATGCCATCACTTTGTTTAAGACGTTCTGAAATAAGTGCGATTTGATTTATCTAATTTTTCTTTTTTTAAAAAAACCGACAAATTCATACAGCATATATAATACCTTTAAGCTCCTGCGCACCGGCCTTTCAATGATAGTAAGTTCCTGCAGATCTTCTATATAACCAAACAGATTGTTTTGGCTAAAATCCATTTTGTATGAGAAGATGATTATCGGATGCATGTACTAGGTTGACGCTCCAATCCTTGGCAAATCAGGGTTTTTAGTGGGCACGCTTCACATTGCACTGAGGCCCGAAAAAGAGCACCAACCCCCCCCCAAAAAAAAAACTAAAACAAAAAACAAAAACCCGGAGGACCTCTCTCGTCTAAAAGATGTACTAGCGAAGGTGGGCGATAGAAGCTGCTTCGCTCCAGCTGCTCCCTCCTCCTCGTAGGAAGCTGAGCCCCCACCAGGCAGGAAGATCCTCAGCAAACACAATGCGGCAGCACCACAGCTCTCCGCCGATGCTCGTTCGGCTCTGAAAGCATCCCTCGCTTACTCGGCCCAGGTTTCGGCAAGGAAACTTTCTCTCCTGCTGCTTCACTTTCGCCTCAGTTCCTCCGCCGTTTCCAGGGAGAAGGAGACACCAACATTTCCCCACCTCCGCACACGCGCGCGTGCATACACACGCCCTCTTTTTCCCTTTTGCTCTGGTCGGGTGGGGGTGTGCGAAGGGGGCCGGATGAGAAGCAAACAAAAAGATGGTCCGAGGTGGCAACTTTTCTCTTTCTTTCTTTGTCCTGGTTATGAAGTCGGAGGCAGCTTTAAGGTGTTCAAGACCAATTCAAAGGCAGTGGTGGCGGTGGAGGAGGCGGCGGCCGGCAAGATCCTACTGGAAGCCAAAAATAGGGATGGAGAGGACATGCGAGGCAAAGAGCAATTCCGTATCCTTAAAAAAAAAAAACTTTAAACCTTAAAAAAGGGGGGGGTT